CCTCGCTCCTTCAATCGGGGCTGGGGCTGGCTTCCATCAGCGGAATGCGGCAGAGGTAACACTGCGCCTGTTCCAGCCCAGGGCCTTAAAAGGCCTGGAAGCTTCTGCTTTTGTGCTCTTTGGCACCCTGAGCTGCCATTTAAGAAGTCCAGCTAGTGATGAAATACCTAGGAGAGGCCATGCAGGGGAGGAGAGGACCTCAGGATACACGAGAAGAGAGAAGAGCCCAGCCCTAGCTGTGAGCGGAATCACACAGGGACCACAGGCAGGACCAGCAAAAATAGTGCAAATCTGTGAGAAATACTAAAATGGCTGTTGTTTTAAGCTACTAAGTTTTACGGTAGATGTTACACAACAATAGATAAAAGACATCTTCTTTGAGACGTGTGAAATACAGAAGGTACTGACCAAAGGCTCAAATCTACTGCCGTGATTATAAGGACCAAGCTTGGTGGACTGAGTGATTAAAATAACTAACAGAGCTCAGGAATGGACCTCGGAGTCCGAGCCATCTCTGACAATCCTCTGCATTCTGTCTGTTCCAGCTCCAAAGCTACGCTTTAAATGAAATATGGAAATGCATACCAACACGCAGCTAGCATCCAGCCTGGCACATGGTAAGCACTCAAAAACCGCCTGTCAGTTTGTTCATGTGTACTTAAAGCAGTGACGTGAACATGAACCCTCCATTCACAGGCAGTGAATAATGGTACAACGGTTAAGATCATTCTGGAACCAGAGAACCTGAGCTCAATCCTGGCTCCCACAATTACAAACCATGTGAGGCCTTAGACAACTTACTTAACTCTCTTGTGCCTCAGTTCCCTCATTTGAAAAGGAGAATATCAGTACCTATCTCACAAGATTGTTGTGAAGATTAAGTGAGTTGCATGTTAACAGCTTAGAAGGCACATAGTAAAGGACTACGTAACTGTTAATAGTTAAGGTTTTCTTTGTTGTTCTACATCTCAGATCTAATCGATTATACTAGCATCTATGTGCCAATATTCATGGAATTTCCATTTAAAGATTTCAAAACTGAGAAACTATTAATCAGGATAGTTAAGTGTCATTTTTAGTCTCTTCTATTCTCTTCTATGCTTCTGGGTTACTCCCCAAATACAGTCAGATCAAAAATTGCTAGTCTCTGGTGAAAGTCTGGAACAGTTAGCAACTCACTGTGAGAAAGAGGCCAAGAAAAATGACCAGTGAGGTGTGCAAGGAGAGTCCAAACTGACTGTGCCGAGACCCCTGGGTGTTGCGGAGAGGACAGTGGGCAAGGGGTGTGATACAAAGGAAGGCGCTGGCTCCTTGTGACCTTGAGCAGGTCCTTTATGACCTGTGGCTCAGGGCCCTCAGCTCTATGAGGGGGATACCACTCCCTGACATGCTTTGACCCGACAGGGCAGCAGGGAGGGCAAATGAGCCCAAACCTAGGAAAGGCCCTTTGTAACTCCGAAGGCACTGGGAAAAAGTTTTAATGTATTTGTGGTATCTCACTTTCAATAACAATAACTTTTTACATTTCTGAAAGTTTTGAAATAAGCCCAAAACCCCATTCCTGCCAACAAGCAGGGCCACAGCAAGTGCCTTTTATGAGGGCTAACGAGAAGCCTATTTTCTTTAAGAAACTGAAGAGTAGGCATTCTTTGACAACTCTCAAAAATAGCTCAGTCGATTCAATAAAGTCATCTTTGAAAACAGAAAAAAAGAATCCACCCGTGCTCTGTGCCTAAGCCCAATAGGTCGCTGCTACGGCGGAGGCTTTACATGGAGAGCGAGCGGCGGCCTGTGATTCTGGTTGGGTCTGATGGAGACCTGCTATTCTGATCTCCGAGACTCACTTTGTCTACTCCGGCTCCCTCTTCCCTCTGTCTGTCTCCACACTTTACAAAAGGGCTTAGAAGTTATATTTCTGGCCCAGTGACTCTTCCAGCCACCGCTGGGTCCAGACCAGATTTAGCCCTGGGATCGGCGGGTGACCGGGCCCACACAATGCCAGCAGGGAGAGATGCCCGGCCTGCTCTGGCTCCAGCAGATCGGCTGTCAGACAGGCATCCAGCCCTGCCTGAGGGCTCTCTCTGTAAGTAAAGATGTCTCCTTCCCCAGACATTCTCTCACCTCATGACCCAGGGGCTGCATGTGAGGGACAAAGGGGGCCTTATTAAAGGCAGGACGAGGAGGAAACAAACTGCCCTGAAGAGGAGCGGAAAGGAAGAGGCTGGGGACCACCTCAGAACGCTCTCCCCTAGGGCTGCTGGACACTTGCCACCCTCTGGGTCTCCCTGGGGAGCTTGGGTCACTGGCTTCAGTTTTAGGATGTAAAGACTGGGCAGTTGTTGGTCACAGTGAGGATGGACTAAGGTTTGCAGCAATCCCATGAGCTGTGCCGCACAACCAGCCTGGCCTCGCCCACCCAGTTCTACCCTGACCAGCATAGCTATGTGGTGAGACACCAGGGCTGCTGCTAATTACGTTTTCTGAACACACCACAGGCATACTTTCCTCGGGCTGTTTGGTTTGCCCCCCTCCCTGCCCCCACCCCATGTAGTGTGGAGCTCTACCAGCCTTAGAGGGAGGAGCATATGGGAGCCCAGGGAGGGGAGTCAGTCCCACCACCCTGGGCTACTGAAGGTGAGAAGACGCCCTTCCCTTTCCCACCTGCACAGGTGGGATTCACACCAACTAGGTCTTAAAGCCCCAAAATAAAACCACAGCAGGCCCCACTCTTGGCCAGTATCTTGGCTACCTACATTTACAGAGTCCCAATTTCACTCACCTCCACTGGGACCACAGCCAGATCTCTACGCTGCTTTAACTTCAGCAAGCCCTGTTCTGAGACAGACCATCTCCTGCTGGGCTTTATTGCTGCCACAGTCTGAAGTCCCCTGTTCTCCTGTGTTCCTATCACCTGCACCCAGGCCTGTTTCAGCATCTGTCTGCTGTATAGCGGTGCACTGGTCTCTCCCCAAGTGACTGAGCTCCCAGGTTCGCAGACAGAGCTTTGCAGGCAGCCATTCTTGCATTGCTGGAGCCCCGAGTCCTGGACTCGCACTTAGCAGATATTTAATATGAGCCTGCTGGTCACTCCCCAATGTAGAACATGGGGAAGAAAGCTGTCTGAGATGAATATGCGGCAGGTACTGACTTTCCTTCAGAACCCTATAGGAATCTGTGAAGGATGCGAAATGCCAGATTTGCCTGCACAGACATGGGAATTAGACGCCGATCCCCTCCACGGATCAGTCAGGGTGGCAGCAACCTTGACATTGAATCATTCAGTCCTCAGGTGGTAGGAGCTGAGCCAGAGGAAGGACAAGGGTGCACGCCAACATGAAGATAGTTTGGCAGCGTGGCCTGACTCCAAACCAGCGCTGGGCCACCCCCTGGACTGCAGCCAGAACTATGACAAAGCCAATAGTTCTGACACCCACTAAGGTGTGGCTGCTTTGCCAGTGACAATATCACAGTAATAGGTACACTTAACTAAGTGCCTACCATGCACCACGCAGGTTACGCACATCAGCATCTACTGCCCCAGGAGGCAGATGAGCCACGGTGAAGGCAAAGGCTTGACAGTCAGACATCGGGCTCTGCCTTTACCCGGTGACCAGCTGAGTGCCACCTGTGTGCCATGCTCCAGGCCAGGCACCGCGGGTGCCATGAGGAGTGAGGACAGCCCCTGTCCTCGGGGAGCGCATAGTTTATACAAGAAAACAGATGAGGCCGGGCGCAGTGGCTCACGCCTGTAATCCTAGCACTCTGGGAGGCCGAGGCGGGTGGATTGTTCGAGCTCAGGAGTTCGAAACCAGCCTGAGCAAGAGCAAGACCCCGTCTCTACTAAAAATAGAAAGAAATTAATCGGACAACTAAAAATATATAGAAAAAAAATTAGCCAGGCATGGTGGCGCATGCCTGTAGTCCCAGCTACTTGGGAGGCTGAGGCAGAAGTATCGCTTGAGTCCAGGAGTTTGAGGTTGCTGTGAGCTAGGCTGATGCCACGGCACTCACTCCAGCCTGGGTGAAAGAGTGAGACTCTGTCTCAAAAAAAAAAAAAAAAAAGAAAAGAAAACAGATGAAAAAACAGGCCACAAAACACAAAGTGAGACAAGCCATAATGGAGGCATAACCCAGCCCTGGTTTCATGCCATCTGAGTGAATCCCAGACAAGGCTAGCCATGGTATTTTGTGCAAATTACTTAAATCCCCAGGTTCTTCATCTGTAACATTGGGATTAATGATATCTATGTCACAGGGTTCTGTGGAGACTAAATATGCAATCTACATACGGTGCTTACCTGGAGGTAAATATAAATAAATGATGATCGTCACTTTTAGTTAACCACAAAATCAGATTTTATGCATAGATTTAAAGTATGACATCCCAATTGGTTTCTAACTTTTTTCCTCATGCACGCATTTTCAAAACATTGAATCCTTATGCATTTGAAGTCTCTAACCTGCGCTTGATTCTTTATTGGAGGGTCACCAGTGCGACTATTACAATTTATTGCCCAAATCAGGATATCTCTGAGAGTGGGGGGAAAAAAGGGAACAATTAGTAATTTCACTGGGACAACAGAGTAAACCGGATCCATTTCGGGCAAAATGGAACAGCTGGTCACCTTATCCATCATCTATAGGCCAAGTTCAGGGTCAAAGTAAACAGCGATCACCATGCACATTCTTTCTCCATCACTTGTGGGAGTTGCCAACAACTTTGAGAACAGACCCAGTCAAATCCCAACCTGGATGAGAGCCAGCAACCACCCTGCCCCATCCCGAAGTCCAGAGTCTCAATGCACACAGACACTCTACCATCACCCACACACATCCCAGTGCTCGCAAAGCTGCTCCCCAAACCAGAACAGAAGGGGGTCACACCCTGGTCTGAGCACTTGGACTGAAGTGAAGTGTCATCACCCCTCACATACTGAAAAGCAGCTGTCTTAGGGCAAGGTATCAGTCATCCTTCTTCTCTCCGAAATGATCCCCCTTACCTTAGGTGTCCCAAGCTGTAGAAGCGGGACTCGCCATCAGTGGAGCGGACCACCTGCAGCGTAAACATGGGCTGCAGCTGCCTGAGCTCCAGCAGGACGATGGCCAGGTAGTGGATGAAGAGGAGGGCGTCCACGAGGGAGACTGCGTATTGCACAATGCCCTGGTAATTTCGGTCCCGAGAGTCCAAAATTCGGACCCCGTAAAAAAGCCAATAGGAAACCACAAAGAGAAAGATGAGGACCAACAAAAGGGCACGAAACACAAACACGCGTGGCATGTCAGCTCTCTGCTTCCGGAAAAAAAGTGCCCAGGTCCCTATGAGCAGAATGAGGAGTTTGAATGCCACGGAGATGAAGAGTCCCTCACAAATTGTGCCACAAGGCTCCAGCTCATCCCTCCACAGGATCGCGGGTAACAGAACGAAGGCAATGGGGGTGAGGAAAACTAGAAGTCCAAGAAAGGAGGCCATGGTGAGGCCCAGGTAGCGCCTGCAATCCAGCCCCACACTGTCCTCCATGTCCTTGCTGATCCTGGCAATGTCCTCCTGGGATATGCTGTGCTCCGAGGTGCCTGTGATGGCTGTGGTGGTCTCTCCCCAGTTGTCATCCTGGCGAGGAGAAGACAAGGCCATTTGTTAAAGCCACAAAGAGAATAGGGAGGGCCTGCCTCGTTTACCCATGAGCACTCAGGGTCTTCTAGAAAATGGAATGGTTTAACAATTTTCATTGTAATTTCCAAAATGTATTATATGTTTACCTTTTCAAATAGAGAAAACATAATTTAATCTTTTTGTTTGAGTGATTCATTAACATAACATTGATTATCATCTGGCTGTGTTGAAAAGCGCTGAGAGGCTCTGAGGGCCTGGGGCTGTTTGCCCTGCAAGAAACAATCCAGCAGTTAGACTAGCCTTGTGAGAGCTCATCTATTCTGCAAGCTTTTTTTCCAGTTCACGCTGGGTATGTATATTATTACTACACCCTCCAGTAGCCCTGAAGAGCAAAGGCCTTGGCAAGGGAACCTACAAGCTTACCTGCAGCTAATATACCTATTTCTGCAAACGTCCATATGATGTTTGCAAGATACACTGAACAAGTATCAGGCTCAAGCACTGTTTGACAATATTTCTCAATGACTAAGCTAAGTAAATTTAAAAATCTACCTATGGTCAGATTAGTTCAAAAATTCCTTCCGAAACATGTTTTCATGACAAACTAAACATACCATGAGAGAAATTACTATTTAAGACAATAGCCAGAAGCAGCCAGGACTCTCAAACACTGATGGTGGAAGTGTACAACTGTACAGTGCTTCTGGAAAACTGATCTGGCAGTTTCATAAAAACTTAAACGTGGCCAGGCACAGTGGCTCACGCCTGTAATCTTAGCACTCTGGGAGGCCAAGGCGGGCGGATTGTTTGAGCTCAGGAGTTCGAGACCAGCCTGAGCAAGAGCAAGACCCCGTCTCTACTAATTATCTGGACAACTAAAAATATATAGAAAAAATTAGCCGGGCATGGTGGCACATGCCTGTCATCCCAGCTACTCGGGAGGCTGAGGCAGTAGGATCATTTGAGCCCAGGAGTTTGAGGTTGCTGTGAGCTAGGCTAACACCACGGCACTCACTCTAGCCAGGGCAACAGAGTGAGACTCTGTCTCAAAAAAAAAAAAAACTTAAATGTAACAGTTAACTATATGGCCCAGCAATTCCGAGGTTCTACCCAAAGTTAACAAAAACATATATCCAAAAAAGACTTACACAAGAACATTCTTAACAGCTTCATTCATAACAGCCAAAATGGTGCAACCCAAATGTCCATCCACCAGGAAAATGGATAACAAATTGTGGTACATTCATACAATGGAATACTACACAGAAAATATGGATAAATCTCAAAATCATTATGCTGAGGAGGGGGAACAGTATGATTCCAATTATATTACATTCAAAAACAGGCAAAACTAATCTATAATGATAGAAATCAACACAAGTAGTGGGGGTGAGGCAGAGATTGAGTAGGAAGGGCACAAGAGAATTCCCAGGGGTGACAGAAATATGTCTTGATAGGGTGCGTGTTATATAGGTATGTTCATCTGTTAAAACTCATCAAACTGTATACTTAAGATCTGTTCATTTCTCTGTGTGTAAATTCAGGTCAATTTTTTTTTTTTTTTTTTTAAGACAGAGTCTTGCTCTGTTGCCCGGGCTAGAGTGCTGTGGCGTCAGCCTAGCTCACAGCAACCTCAAACTTCTGGGCTCAAGCGATCCTCCTGCCTCAGCCTCCCAAGTAGCTGGGACTACAGGCATGTGCCACCATGTCCGGTTAATTTTTATATATATATATATTTTTAGTTGTCCAGATCATTTCTTTCTATTTTTTAGTAGAGATGGGGGTCTCGCTCTTGCTCAGGCTGGTCTCAAACTCCTGACCTTGAGCGATCCACCCGCCTCGGCCTCCTAGAGTGCTAGGATTACAGGCGTGAGCCACCGCGTCGGGCCTCAGGTCAATTTTTTAAAAAGAAAAAATATATCAGCAAAGGAAGAAAAAGCCATAAATTCAAATATATACAATTTGCTTTTTTTATTATTATTATTTCAGAATATTACAGGGGTATAAACATTTTAATTACATGATTTGCTTTTGTGTAATTTGAGTCAAAGCTATAAGAGTGCCCATCTCTAAGGTAGTGTACATTGTACCGTTAGGTGTAAATTTACCCATCCCCTCCTCTTCCCTCCCACCTACTTGGTTTCCATTGAGTTTTACTACCATACGCGCACATGGGTGTTGACCGATTAGTTCCAATTTAATAGTGAGTACATGTGGTGTTTGTTTTTCCATTCTTGTGATACTTAGTTTAGTAGAATGGTCTCTAGTTTCATCCACGTTGTTAAAAAGGTATTAGTTCACCATTTTTATGGCTACATAGTACTCCATGGTGTACATATACCACATTTTATTAATCCACTCATGTATTGATGGACACTTGGGTTGATTTTGCACCTTTACAATTGTGAACTGTGCTACAATAAACATTTGAGTGCATGTGTCTTTTTGATAAAATGACTTTTTCCCCTTTGGGTAAATACCCAATAGTGGGATTGTTGGATCAAATGGTAGGTCTACTTTTAGTTCTTTGAAGTATACAATTTGCTTTAATATATGGTAAGTTCACAGGATACAGAAAATGACTTCTTTGTAACACTCTTAGTGAAAACAAATATTGGATTCCGTGTTTCGTATTGGGCCTAGTATTCAGTTGATAATCAATGCTGAAATAATGACTACTAGTATCCTATATTCATTTTGTTGACCACCATACTGCTCTGATTTAGCTGCTCATCCTTTCTCCTGCCAGAGTTGCTAACTAGATCCCCTGTCCATTTTAAGAAATTGTGCATGTGTGCCTAAACAATGTAGATATACAAAGGGTCCTTTCAAGCTTGAGGTTCTTAGAACAAAAAGGATCTAAAATCCTCTAATCTAATATTCTAGATTTTCTTTTTAAAAAATTGTTTTAGAAATGAGGTCTTGTTATGTTGCCCAGGCTGGTCTCAAACTCCTGGCTTCAAGTGATACTCCCGCCTCAGCCTCCCAAGTAGCTGAGATTACAGGCATGGGCCACCTTGCCCAGCTTAATCCCCTAGATTTTCAAGGAAGAAACTGAGGCCTTCAAAGTTGTCATTGCTCAAGGAAACAGCTACTGAGAAATACAGCCAACAATGTTCACCTCAATGCTTCTTCCACCAGATCATCCTGGGGTAAATACCAACAGCTTCCCAGTGTAGCTCTTAGTGAGCTACAAGGTATAGTGAAGCTGAAAAAAAAGAAAGGAATATCTTCTCATTGGGCTACCACCACCTCTGAATCCACATCTAAGAGGAAAGTGACCTCCCGAAGCACTTAAGGGTAGTCTGATCCTAGGATCAGCCCTCCCAGAGCCAAGATAAGCAGTACAACAGTACTAAAAGCATATGCTTGTCATTGAACAAACCCCACATTCAACCCACAACTGCAGCTTTCGGTCCCAAGAACTTGTGTGCTCTGAGGAATTCCAGTTTCAGTCCATCTATCTGATTATAAACGCGTATCTGTGTATCTCCAGATGTGCACAGACATATGCTTATCTACAGTAATGTATCTTTACAGCTGTGTATGCATACATTGCTTTGTTTACATGGGGCAAGGCTGGACATGCTTATATTTCAGGATGCGTGGAGGGTGTGCAAACATGTTTCTAGATATAGCCCAGATGTTTATTTAAATCAGGTGGGCTGCCAGACAGTTGGGGCCTGGAGAAAAACCCACATAATGTTTTCTTAAAAAATTAATAAACTGCCAATGTTTCAAAATTATGTGAAATTAGGATTTCACATAAAATCGTAATTCCCAGCTTTTCTTCAACATGGCAAGACCCAGTAACACTGAATCCCTGCATTCCTGAGTAGCAATTAACTATCTGGAGCGGAGGAGCTACTGTTCCCTTGACAGAGGAAATTCATTCTCCAGTTTGCTATAGACTCCTTCGCTCCACGCCATGGCACTGACACCAAGGTACTGCACAGATTGCTATTAATCCCCAAGCCCGCTTATATTTTTGCCCCTTCTTTTGACCCAGGGCAAATTCATTTATGTTTAATTCATGTTTCCCTACCAGGCCACTGAGTGTATAGCCCCTGATTTATTTCATAGATCTAGAAGTAATGCTCAGTCTGGGCAAGATGGACTTTCCAACACTACTTAGGTTTTGCTTCCCTCTCTTACACTGTTCCATTTTGGAATGGGTCTCGGGAGACTCTGGCCTGTAACTTTTCCCTTCCCTGCCCTGTCAGCCTTGTCAGCTTGTCCTCAACATCCTTCAGAGCAGGCCAGCCAATCACACGTCAGAAGAATCCCCAAGCTACCCAATGGCAGTACATGCTATCCTTAGGCCAACAAGAGACCACGGGACATAGATAAACTAATTAACATGCTAGAAAAATAAAGATAAAAACCCAAGAGAACCTCCTGCAACAAGACTTAGGAAAACATTTACAGAAAGGAGTCTTGGTCAAGTGGCAGGCAGTGTGCTTACAGACCACCTGTGAGCCTTACCTGAACTTCCTCTGTCCGAGTAGAATCATTTGCCAACAGAGGCTCTCCAGTGGGGGCTTGAATGGTGACAGACTTTTCTGACGCTCTGACATCTTTATTACGAGGTGATTTGTGTCTCTCTCTAGTTCTCTCCCTGAAAAAAAACCCAACCAGTTAGCATATTTATGCCATGTTAATTAATTCTTTGGGTTCATTGAGATGTATTATAAATTTCATTTTGAATTTAGGAAATTACATACACACACACACACACACACACACACACACACACACACACACACACGCGGCACCAATACCTACCCACCCCTCCTTCAAAGGAGTAATCTGATCTTTACTCTCTAATTTTTTTTCCTGCCATTCCAAGACCCAAAACAAAGACTATCACTCTTCTTTTCTCAACAGTGATCTTTTGTTTCCAAAGCCTAAAAGTGTAATTTTAGAATTTCTGCAGCTAAGGCACATTTTATTGTAATATTTATTAACTTGATTTGGTTGTAATTTGCCTAAACCAATTTTCTAGGATTTTTTTTTTTTTTGCTGGGACAACACTGCAGAATATCTAAGTTTTGGTCTGTCCAAAAAAATGTGGGACACACTGTGTACCTTACACCTTGGACAAGAGAAGAAAGGAAATTCTAAACTAGTACAGAGAATCATTCACTTCTCATTCTTACAAATTCAAAAGTCATTCCCATAGGTTCTAGCTGAACTTGAAGATACCCACAGAAACAAACAAACTAGGACAAAAGACACCAAGAGGTGTGAAGGCTGTGTGTGTGTTTTTAGGCCCTTTAAGGAAGCAAACTGCTTCATCATTTTACATCAGAGGAACTTCCTGGGTGGTCTTCCAGGACAACTGTGAAAACACCCTGCTTTAGGTCAATCCTGAAATTACAAAAGGAACCAATCACTGTGGCCAAGCCCAGAGCTCACATCCTGGTCAACAACCACCTATGGAAACTGGCACCCCAGCCTCTGGCTGCCAAGAGCAAATCAGGCAGCCCCCACCAAAGGAGCCCCTCAGTGGCAAAGGGTAAGTTCCCTTAGCCTCCTGTCCCCACCAGCCACCTTGATATCAGTCCTGGTTCCTACAACCACCTGCGCTCATTCCCACAGTCTCCCAGGCCAGATAGAAGCAGCATCGAGCATGCAGATTTGGAGACAAACAGATTTCGGCTCTGTCGCTACTAGATGCGTGACCTTGCATAAGTTATTCAACCTCTGAAAACCTCAGTTTTCTTATGTGAGAAGTGGGGACAATGATAATACCACATAATATACCGCAATACTCTGTACAGGGGTGTGGAGTCAGTGCTAATACACATCAGCTCTTATTATTGCTATTACTACTAGCCAGTGGCAAAGAATGGTGTGCTGACTTTGTGAAGCACAGTAGTAGACCTTGGAGAGAGATGTAAATGGAACCAGTAACTCCCCTCCATACATATATCTCCCATTAACCTGCTACTTACCTTTAAAAAAAAAACGTAGATTTCTTGTCAAAACTTCTACTTTATCAATACCTCCCTGGCATAAGCATTGATTAATTCCTTCAAAGAGCCAGGAGGCTCCCATGGCCCCAGGGAATCTTTCAGTGACAACTCTGTCCCTAGAGCATAATTTATAATTACAATCTATTGCTAAATTAGACTCTAGAAAGAGATGTGTTCTGGTCAACTCAGGTGTTTTAACAAGGCAGCTAGGAAAACCACCAAGTAAGCAGAGAATTTGGTGGTGTACCTAGAGATGTAACTAATAATGCCAGTCGTCCCACCCCCACTCCAATTTATAGAGCACTTTGCTAAGTGTTTTACTATATTAATTTCATTCAATCCTAACGATAACCCTATGAGGCCAATATTATTGTCCCCATTTTACAGAATGAGGAAACGAAGGTTCACAGAATTTAAGTGACTTCCCAAAGTTGTAGTAAGTAGCAGAGGAGGATCTGAATCCAGGCCTGTTGCCACCACCTCTATTCAAACCCACTATGCAGCAATGTTTTGAAGAGCAATAGGAAGATCTGATAGCATAAATATTCCTAATGCTCATCCTCATACCCGACAAACTACTACAGCTATGAAAATATGCTTTTGAAGCTACGGCTAGGAGTCACGATTGGACTGTGACCTTAGCACAAAGCTATGCGCCCAACACTCAGGGTTGTTAAAGACAATCACTTCAAAGGGCAACCACTGTGAGAAACAATAAACAATTGGGAGAGATTTCCCATGTGATTGGTCAGACCTCAGAATGAGCATGAGGCTAAGTCTACACTGCTACTCTGCCCGCCCCACCTTCAGCCAGATGGATGAGGCTCTCTCTTCCACCTTAATCCATTTCCACCTTCCCCAACCGCTCTCACATTTATCGCAGTCTAGGCCACCATCCAAGTCACATGCTCACCTAACCCATCTAGCTATTCACTAGTCCCACAGGTCAAATCCTGTAACAGCACAAATTCCACTGGAAATCAGAATTCTTTCGCTGAGTGCCAATTCCTGGAGCCTGAACACCAGCAGGGCAGAAAGCAGGTGGGAAGCCATCCAGGGCTGGAAACAGCCTCTCTGTGGCCAGCCAGGGCTCTAGACCACGAACCCTCCCAGCCTGGCTCTTAAAGGGCCTGGGGCACCCAAATGCAAAACAACTGTCTAACAACTCCCCTGGTAACATCTGAGGCAAACCAGATGAGAACCTATTATCTGATAACCCAAGGAAGGTTTCTCATCCTCGAGAGCCTGAAATCCTAAACCAGCGCTTTTTAAACTTAAAAAAGTGAGCAGGAAAGCCACCCAGGGTATGAATTCAAGTGCACATTTGTTGGCCCCACCCTCAAAGAACATGTCTGGGAAGGAGACAACAGAAATCTACATTTTCCACCAGCACCCCCGGTGATTAGGCCACAGGTGGTCCAGGAAACTTTCCCCAAGATTCTCGCACACAAACGCTCCTGGGGAAGAGGTTGCGGGAGTGACTGCTGGAGTCTAGGAGTAAGGTGCCCTGCAGACAGCAGGGGCTCAGAGATGGGAGCCCTGAGTGTAATGCTCAGCTGTACAATGTTAACAATACGCAGTGCTTCTTTATTAAAATAGTATTAAGTGAACGAAGTTGGAAGGAAGGCTCAGGACAGTGTGCAATCATGCCTGAGGGTGCCCAGAGCCGAGAGCCTCCCACCCACTGTCCAGTGAGAGGCAAACATACAGCAGGCCCCATCAACTTAGCACTAGCACTGTGCCAGGCATGTGGCTGCTGCTTGTACTGCTCACCAAGGGAGCAAGACCTGTCAGACAGATTTTATTGAAAAATTTTCTTAGAAAATTTTATTAGAAATCCCTGATCCTAAATTACTACTCCGGGAAGGTCTCTGAGCCAAGCCAGGCCTTCAGAGTGACATCCAACAAAAATACTGCTGCTCAGTGCTTTCCAGTCTGCAGAAGCACGAGTCTCAGTGCGGCCACCTTATTGCAATACGTACCCAAACGTTCATCCCTGTGCTCCTGATGCTGTAACTGCAGGGAAAACCTGTGGCTGCTACGCGTCCTCTGAGAGAGGGTTCCCCAGTGATGATGACAATCAGCTCCTGGTGTCTCAGAGTATGGACATGGGATACCAGGACAGTAAACAGCTACCAAAGCACGGAAAGGGGTGTCATAAACATAACACACTTGTGTGTTTTTCTCACTCTGCCCACATGGTCTGGATCACCTGTGTGCCTTTGCTGGACAGCTGCGTCAGCCACGGGAATCTTTCTTTGTGTCTCTATCTCCGAATCTGTCTCCATGCAACATCTGCCCGTGTGAGTAAAGATAAGTACTGCATATCTGTGTGCGTGTGAGGGGCGGGGCAAGCGAGTGGCGGCACGCAGGAGGCCCGGGCATGTGTCTGTACTGCGTGTGTGCGTGCAAATGCACCTATAAGGGCGAGTCTAGAGCTGAGCCCTTGGGGGCTGTTGTAGCCCCTTCGCTCCAGCCAGAATCCCTGTAATTCCCATACTGCCCCACTTACAGTCAGCATTTCCTGGGAAGATGAGTTAGTCCGGTTTCTGTTGTTTGTCTATTTCTATTTGGGGAAAGCGGCCCCACCGGTTACTCCTCCCTTTCCTCCCTCCTCTCCCACCACCCACGACCCGTCCTTTCTCTCCACTGCCTGCCGGGGCCTGGCGGGCTGCTTCCTCCCGGCCCTGATTGAGGCGAGAGGGCCAGCGCAGGGCAGATGCCGCGCTCTAAAACAGCCTCGGAGCAGAGCCACTGATCCCTCCACTGCCCAGGCACCCTCTTTTCGTACATTTTAGCAAATTAGTCACATCAGGTGCCTTTCACTTCCCTTTTCAAAAGTGGCATTTCCCTTCCAAAGAAACAAGTTAGGCCCGAAACCTGCTGAGGGCACCTACTAACCTTGGAACTCCAGGCAAATAACATTGCCTCTCTGTGCCTCGACTTCAGCCCCTGTAAAATGGGGCCACCAGCTCCCTCCTTTCTAGGACTGCCACGAGGACAGGTGATAATGGCTGTGAGGGCCCTGGCAGAGCTGCTCTATTTAAATCAGGGCACTCACGCTCTAGACCCAAAGGTGAGATGAGGTCGGCGGGAGTCTGCTCCATTTTCCCAGCAAGTTAACTGGACACCCTCCGGAGAATGCATCACGAAATCAGGCCACTGACCTCTTTGTTAAAAAAGAGTCACTTGTCATTTGCTTGGAACCTGGCCAGTCCCCCAAGATGACCACGGGATCATCAGGCATATCAAGTTTGGTGCATTTCACTATTCCTCTCCGAGCTGGAGTTCTACTAAAATGACCGAAAAGCAAGGTTCCCCTCCCCTCTTTCCTACTCTTCCATTCAAGTTCCCAACAAATCCCCGAGCAGAGCAGCCTTCACAGGGACACTCCAGGGAGCCAATACCCTTGGCTGGGGTGTAGGGCCTGCTCTCATGCCTGTGGAGGGTTCTATTCCTGCTAACTTTTCTTACACCGTGCAAGGAACTCCACAGTGCGTAACGTCTAGGGATGACAACCTTCCCCCCACAGGTGCTGTACCCTCCATGGCCTCCAGTCAGAGAATTGGCCACCAAAGAACTTATGGAGCACACCTACAAATCTCCAAGGCTCATCCCCTCACTCAGAGCTGTCCTCAGAGGCGTTCAGTAACATTCCTTGATTAGCTGACTAAAAGTCTTAGTTCATATTAACATTTGCCAAGTACTTTCCACATGGGTCCAAGAACGCACTAAGAGTTCTGCACATTGTTTTAATTGAAAGTTATAGTCTCTTAAAGTTACCACAAGGGCATTGGAGTATCAGTGTCTGAGGGCCCAAGAGGCCTAAGGAAAGAGCAGAGCGTAGCAATGGGCCCTGAGGCGTGAACACCGGGACACGAGTATAGACACAGGAGGCCAGGGACGGTTTCCACACAGAATACCGCAAGCCATCCTTCTCTATTCATCCCCAGGCACCAAGAGAACCCCAAATTCCTACTTCCGCCATGTGGTGTAGATGAGAGACGCCTGGCACACTGACAAGGGAACTGCTTTTTCCAGTTAAGCCCAAAGATTTGATATTTTAAACCAAATCTGATAAGTTTACCCACTGGTTGAAATTTGTGATTAAATTTTTATCACAGAGGGTTTCTGACTTTCTCGGGATCTGGGCTCTGCCCCTAACTCCAGTTTCCCATCCTGGGCTCCAAAACAAGCTCATTTATATCTTTTTCCCAAATTCTTATAAGAGCAATATAAAAAATTTAGAAAATAATGGAAGTTAAAAAGAAAATACCACTCATAATCCTATAGTCAGAGACAGGCATGGTCAGTATGTTAATATTCATCTTATCACTGTATATATAACGATTATAATGCACAAAATTTTGAATCCTGTTTTTCATAACATGGTCTCATGAACACTTTCTCATGTTATCAAATAATCTTTAAAAACCTTTCATTTACACCTCATTCCATTCATTCTTTAAAATTACAAAATACACATTGGTAAAAAACTGAATGAGTACAGAAAGATAACGTATACACGGAAGTTCCTGTCAGTGTCCGGCTTTGGCCGAGACCCCTCCCTGTGGATGACTGCTCCCGACTTGGAGAATACCCTCCCAGACCTCTTTCCATGTGTGTACATCCGCATGGGCTCATGGGTAAATAAGTAGATTAGATATGCATGTCTCATTACTGTTTTTAAAAACAAAATTCCGCTCTGCCTTAAGCTGCATGTATGGGGAATGGCTCAGTCAGGGAAATACCTCTAACATCACTGTTCCCAACCAATGCAGAGCTGTGATCAAAGGTGGGCACTAGGCTGGGGCCAGTTGGTCCCTTAGAACATGGAGCTGAAATGCTAAGGCCTATAATGAATGCTAAGGCCTTAATACAGCCACTGGTTAGTGACCTACTCATGCTGTGTTACCTGCTTTACATGCATAAGCTCATTTAATCTTCTCAGCAGCCCTGTAAGGAGGGGACTGCCGTACCCATTTCATAGATGAGGAGGCTAGGTAAGTGGCAGCACTACAATTTTACCAACTGCATTCCTAACCAGTACACTACCACCTATTTATTCATTAATTTCTTTATTCAATCCCTTCTCTACTCAGCAAACATTCCACAGGTCAGTAACACAGCAGGCCCTAAGAAAATACCAGTGCAGACCTGTTCATTTTGCAGAGGAGGGAGAATTTGCCCCCATCACCCAGGACAGCATGTTCAAAACCAAGGCTTGTTCACTTAAAGACTAGTCAAAGAGAAATAAGGCACCAGGCCAAGCCCACCAGCTCAGTGTATAAGCCTCAAGGCAAAGGCATAATGGACAATGAGTCAACAACTATGGAGGAAAAGAAACAACAAATGAACACTTTTTTAAAACTTTCATTTACATTCTTGGTAAAACTCTGAGAGAACTGACATCTATGAGAAGTACTTACAAATAAAAAACATTTCCACTGCAGGGAGAAACTTTAATTTAAAATTAATTGTGAGAAATTAAGGTCATCAACTCTAATGGTGGCTATAAAATATAAATTGCTAGTGTAGTTACTCTCAAGCATGTTAAACACTCTTAAAAGCTCAGCTTCTCACACGCCAATGGGCTGAACCTCCAGCACTTGAGTCATTGTTTGAAAAGAAGCTAGAAGTCCCCACCAACCTGCAGCTTTTCCCAAAAGGAAAAGGGGAATAATGAATAGTTTACATACCCTTGTCTGTGAGATTTTTTCGAATGACTTGAGTAGTAAGAATATCCAGAATATGTAGATTCGGTATCCATAGCAATGGAGGGCTTGGCGTGATGGAGGGGCAGATACTGCTTCTCCTTAGAGGTAGAGAATTTCACCTGCTAGACTCATAAAACCTCGAGGAGTCTGGGAATCAGGAGGAGCCACACGTCAACAGGAACAACTTCTGGGAAGAAGGGAGAAAAAAAGATGTCAATCTTCAAAGCCAACCTTAATGGGGCTGAAAGATAAATGACATAACCGCAACCTCCTCTCTGGGGTCTCCACTGTGGAATGAGTGAGCGAGGTGAAGCATCTGAACTCGAGATGCTCCACTCATGCAGCAACAAGCTTCCTCAGGTGTCTGGGAGGGAGACAGGATAGGTGCTGAGCAAGCCGAACCCCCGTCACAGCAGCAGGAAAACCGGAGGTGGGAGAGACCTGGGCACTGGTCCATTTCCTGAGCACACTCACCAGCTTTGGTCTGTAGGAAGTGGCTTCTCGCTGAGGCCCTAGACGCAGTGCCCAGCCCCCACTGCCAGTTCACTGGTTATAAAAACAATGCCCAGGGAAGTCACTTTTAAGGGATTTCATCATTATTTCCAAAAGTCGATTTTTAAAAATTCTCTCTTTAATCCAGGATCGAAGCTCCTGAGAATTTATCTTAGGAAACTATTTTCTTTGTTAAAGAAAAGTTATTATTATGTCATTGTCTATAATAGTAAAAAGCTAGAAACAATAGTTAAGGAAAACATGGTTCATCCACCCAAAGAAATATCACATAACTGTTTAAAATGATAATTATGAAGAATGAAAGCTTTTATAATATAATGATAAATTTTAAAAGTGGGACACAGAATTGTATATACATAATGAATCTACATTACAGTTACAATCATATAAAATCGCTTATGTAAGGACAAAGATTAAAAGGGGATGCAGAAAATGAAAGCAGGTGATTTATTAGTTGCAGGCTCCTGGGTCTTTTCCCACATTTTCATTAGATATTGCTTTGCAATAAAAATAAATTGGAAACATTTCCAAGTACATTCCTGAGCTCCCACATGCTAAACCTTTACTTCTGGAAAACTGAGATCCGCAAGCTCTGTCTTTTCCTACACCCCTCACCCCAGAGCTAGTCTCAGCCCAACACGTTCATTCTTCCAGGGCCCCTGGAAGCAGAAACTGCAAACACAGCCAGTGAGATAAGTGTGAAGAAAAAACAAAAGAGCTGCAAATGCCATACCCTACCCCTACTGGGAGGAGGCCAAGTTTCCCTGACCCCAGCAACAAGTCGGGAGGGAATCAGGCCTCAGGGACATACCAACTCAGCCTGCAGAGCCTCAAATAAATACCATTTAGGACGCGTTCGCCCTTACCATTCACTCTGCCTGGAAGTGAGGCACATTTGCTTCCAGGGTCTTCCCACCAGGGCTAGCCTTCCTTGTCCTCGATGTCCTGACTCTTCATTTCACATCTCCTCTGCCATCGAGAGCCCAAAGCTAGCCATGGGGAAGCCTGGGTTCTAGGCTGAGCTCAGCCGCTCTCTAGTACAACCTGGGATAAGCCACTTTGCCTTCTTAAGCCTCAGTTTCCTCATTGATCTGAAAATATAAGCAGACACGGTATCTCAAGCTGGGTTCCAACCTCAGGCTTTGCTTACTTATTAGTTATGGGATCTCAGTCAAATTAAAGCTATTTGAACATGAATCTATGGAATGCAAATATCAGGGTTGCTGTGAAGACCAAATGAGCTAACAACCGTGAGAGCGCCCAGCACAGGCTCCAGATGTTCTAGCTAAATGAAAGTTGGGGGAGTCTGTACTCCCTTTGCCACTTCTGAAAACCCCATGCTCTGCTTGTCTTTCTCAGTAAGAGAAAAGCTTAGAAAGAAGCAGAGCAGAGAGCTAGGGGCTCATCTGTGGTCACCTGCAGTCAGATAGAGCTGGGCTTGCATCACTCCACCGCTTCCTAACTAGCTGTGTACTCAGGCAAGGTAGTTTCCCCTTGGGGTCTCAGAGGTTTCTTGCCCCATAAATAGGAAACAAGGCAGCCTATCTCGAGGGTGGGGGGGGGTGACTATAAAGATCAAATGTAGAAATGAACACAGCAGAGATTTTTTAAAAAGTTAAGTTTTGCTCCTGGACATATCTCCACTTTCCTAGAATTTCCTAGAAGACTTCAAAAGCCGGCTCATCTTTTTTGTCCCGACTCTCCCTCCTACCATTGTCACTAGCAATCTCCATGAGCTTTCAGCACCTTAGAGTC